TATCTCAGGCTGTGCCACTGTTCATTGTTCGACGATGCCAGCCAATCAACAACAGCAGGTGACTATTATTATATTACCGGGACCAAAAATGCTTCCGGCCGAAAATCGTCGCGTTCGACGCCTGGAAGCTCGATTCCTACGGTCAGGCGAAAGCGAGAATGATCAGTAGCCGACTGATCGTCCGTCTAAGGATGTTTCGTCTGGGGCAGCGCGATTTTTACTTCATGCTTGCAGCGCACCACTTCCAATGACGGAAGTGGTTTAGCGGCCAAAGCACCCATCATCGACTGAGAATGCCAACTGCAACCGTCGTCAATGGGAGATTTTCAACCATTGTCAGGAATACGCAACGGTCTCCACACGCTGTAATTGGCCCCTCTAATGCCATTGCTCTCTTTCAAAAGGCGACGTCAACTTTTGCAAGCACGAAAGTTGTTTTTTATGTGTCCAGAAGCAGAGCATTTGTGAAGAATGACAGCTAATTTTAATCATTTTGACAAATTGACAGTTAATATGCTGGTGATGAAGAGGATCACAGCAATGACACATTACTGGACAAGGAGTTTCGCTATCCAATTCAATATTGGCGCTGATATTCGCATTTCTCAGGGGCGAGGAAGAAAGTTTTACGGTGTGCAAAAAATTTACTGCGTCGTTGAAAGATGCCGGGTTTAAAGTGCCTGTAGTACAGATCAACGTTTGTATGGCAGTGTGCCAAAGGTCGGGGTCGAAATCAAGCTCTGAAGGTGCCAAGTCTGATTCCCCCAGCGAGGAATCTTTTTCTCTACCGCGCATTCCCTTCAGGAAAAAATTTATCAGACATTATTTCAGACCAGGAAAATTATGGTTGGTCGAACTCAGAATCAAAAAATCCTGGATTCCATCCTCAATGAGGGTCATTGGACCTTCTTCTTTTTGAGGCTGATAAATGAGTACCTGTTGATAAATAAGTGGGAAAGAAAAAAGAGAATAGAGACCATGCTTGTTATATGGTTGCTGTAAATTTTACTTTATAAAAATAATGTACTTTTTGCTGATGACATGGAAATGGAAATCAGGGCCAAGCCATTAAATGCATAAAAGCCACGATGTTAGAACGGGCCCCATCTTGTAAATTGAAAGAAGATAGATATGCCAACGGTTACAAACTTACTGTATTCTTTTTCTTTTGCAACATTACGTGATAACTCCTCATTAAGATGAACAGTCTTGCCGGAACCGAGTGCAAGACTCGAGTTTAAAAACGTAGCAAGAGGTTGTGATTTCCTGCACAAAGACAGCCTTACTTTTAAATAAGGAACCAAAAATAAATGAAGCGCAAAAGTTTAGCAATTGGTTACCAGATATTCTTGTGTCGCAGCAGTGACACAAGGCCGAGTTGATCGCATGCCTGGTTGTTGTCTATGTTTCTGCTGTGCTTTGATCCCCTATGGTAGTTTCCAGAACCATCCTGTTCATCAGTTTACCTTCTTTTTGAATTATTTTGCTGGAGTTCCACTGGATGACGTTGCTCCTCAAAATACTGCCTCTGCTATCACTGAATCTACTCATCTCTTACAGACTGCTAGCGTGATCGCTTCCCACGTGAATTGTGGACTTCCACGTTAATTCTGTGTTAATAAGTTGTTGATTTCGTGTGTGCCATGCATGAAATGATGATGACAGATTCAGTCGCAATTGGTGCCTGGCTACGTGTTTGTTTTTCTGTTGAGATCATCACCTTCGGCCGTTTGCATCAACAGAAACATGTTTGGCTTGCGATGTCCGTTGTATCCACAGCATGTCAAAACTTTTGCTGTAAGGCACGGTTATTGTAGCATAGAAGGAAATATTCCTTTCCGACAGCAGACCTGCCTCTACCTTGTTCGTTCATGTTACATGCTGCCTCATCGTCGACGTTTCCATGTTTCGTCTCCCCATGGACTGAAGTAAATGATTTCTGCACGACCCCGTCGTCTAATAAAGCCAGCCTCCTTTTCTTATCCCTTCATTCGTTGCTACTGCTGGTGTTCAGAAAAGAACAGAGTCATTCGCTATCTGGTCCTGCCAATTAGCTCTGATTACGCATCGAAGTCAGTGCATCTGTACACAGTCAAACCTACTTTCATGCTCCTTCGCTAGAACCACTATTTCCATGCCACTGAACAACACTGCCCTAATTGAGAAATGGTACAGGCAGATTTCTGTCCAAAGCTTCCCTCTTTTCTCAGCTGAAATAGCGGACAAGCTACCGGAGCTTAGATATTTATATTGGTCGACCACCTGCATAATTCTATCTCTATATCCCCCTTATTAATTCGTTTAATTCGATCGGTTCTTCATAACTTTAGATTTGTGGACGTTAATATAGAGGCCAACTGTCCCCGTGTGTAACACACGCAAACCGCCAGATGATAGACACCGCTTCCCGTACAACTCACCAGGAGAATTACCTCATGTCGTACTCAAGATCAGCAAGATGTTAGCCGGATATCGTGAATTGCATTGTTCCTTTAGAATGAGGTCTCTGTTTTTGACAGTGTTAGCACTGTTTCACAGAACAAAGAACAGCATCAAACGCAAAAACGACTTCGCTGATGAACATTCAACAGGATGCTATTTAGATAGCTCTATTCGACTATGACAATGGACCTCATTCTAGAATACATCTCTACAAAACAAAATACAGTAGATGGTTGATTGTATTGCCCTTTGCTGGTTGCAGTAGATGTTTTTATTTGCCTAAAAAACTGAGGATGGCGATATGTGAAAATATGATGGAAGGAGGAACCCGAATGTCAAGAGGAAAACTGGGAAAGGATTACGAGTGACAAGCAAGCAAAAACGAGAAATCGTATTATTAGAAATTCGTAGCGATTCATTGGTAATGATTTCCAAGAAGAATTCTGTACTTCATGGAGCCGTAGTCCATTCAAACGATCATCTGGTCAGCTAGAAGCACAGGACGCCTTAAAAAACCGGCGAAGTGGCAGAAGGTTGTTCTTGAGGGCGGCATTGAAGACCACTAAGTGCTGGCAGTGATCTCAAAATACTGGTGTCGTCTTTGGTATATTGTTATTGTGTACTTGTTTCTCGCTTATTCTCATTGTGATATGTCGCTGTGTACCGCAGCATATTCGTTGAGGACGAGTAGACGTCTGTGGTCTGTCAGAAGTGGGTCATGCGTGGTTGCGGTTGTAAACTTGGCATGGCTCAAAGTTGTGCGAAGTATCTCTTAGAGCGCAGCGCATGAACCTAATACCTCATATCCGTCCTTAGCTTCCTCCAAAGTTTTCTGTCACCCGAACTCATGTCAACTCTGCGCGTGAAATACGGCCGTCTAAGAGATTTGTTGATCCTCGGTTCGTCAGTAGCCGTGGAAATTTGAAGTTTGCTGTCAGGTTTTTCCACCATCACGAAATATGGGAAATTTATGGCTGTCACAGGTTTAGCAATCAATCGTCATGTTTAGCAAAACGTTGGTTTTTTCTTCTGAGTCTTTTCTGTCGTTTCGCTGGATTTGCGAAGCTGTGAAAAGCACAGAGCAACAGGCAACACAGAGGCCATGGCCACACGGGTTTACTCATGCAAATCCCTTTCCTCGAGCGGTCGAAGTAGCTCAGCTTCCGCCTGTCAAACCCTGAAGAACGTGGCTTGCTTGTATGAACTCATGATTCATTGGTCCTTCAGTTTTTTTTGCTTTTTTAGCGTGCAGCTGTCACCCAGTGGGCGCGTTGGGCAAGCATTGCAATCAGACAACCGCTCAGTGTCCGTGCAAAC